ACATATAATTATTTTATTAAAAATATAATTTAATTACCTCAGGTTTGGATGATTCATATTTTACAATTAATTCATCTATATGAGCAGAATTACAAAGTCCAGCAACAGAACAAACAATAGATGGATTCATTTGAGATGCCAAAGTTTCAACAAGCTCTGGAATAAACTGATCTACAATTGTTATGCATTCTTTCACAATTGGTTTTATATGAATAAGTTTACAGCTTCCTTCAAAAACGCTCTTTATATCCTCTTGAGTTTGATTACTTTCTAATTGATCATGAGCTTGTTGAACCATATCTTTACAAATAGTACAAACACTATCATCATCATTTGGTACTTTCATATGTTTCCATACTTTATCAATGCAATGTTTGGTTGCATTACATCCACTTGCAGTTCTATATTTACATATGATGAAATGATTTAATATTAATTTAATTTATAATAACATATTGAATATATAATTTATTGAATGAAAAATTATTTATATTATTATTTAAAATTTAGATATTAATAAAAAATTTATTACGAAGCTAAAAATTATACAATATATAAAAATTTAGTTAAATCAATATAATTAATTAAATATCAATGACAATATAATGTTGATAATATATATATATATATATATATATATATTTAACTGAACCTACTTAATGTTTTCACACCAGTATGAAGGTCCCCATGTACATTCTTGTTCACCCAAAAGATGAAGATCTGCTGGACCCTCAGCTTGTATTACTACTCTTGCTTTACAAACTAAAATATATAATAAATATATAATAAATATATGCAAATATTATAAAATATTATATAAAAATAATGGAAATAAATTGAAATAAATAAATAAATTTATAGAAATAATTAAAAGATTTAATTTTTTATAATACATCGTCTTAAGAATAATATAAAAACAATATATTTAATATTTTTATTTAGAATAATATGTATAATAATATAACTGACAAGAAACATATAACAACTTGAAAATATATTTAAGAAGAATATTCTAATCAATTCTATAGCATTCTATAGTACATACTTAATTGTTAAGCACTGATTCATCTGATTCATCTGAATAAGCAAATCCTATCTTATGTGACTAATGATTATAAAATGTACTAATAATATAATAATATAATAAAATTAATGTTATTTTTCACAGTGTAATAAGTTCAGTTTAAAAAAAAATAATAATTTCAATAATATTATGATTCTAGGATACAATATAATAATATTGCGTGACAAGAATTCAAAAATTATAGCATAAAAAATATATTTCGAAAGGATAAAAATAATGTATAAAAAAATAATATAAAATTAAACGTAATTAAACAAAGTAATTAAACAAAGAAAAGGATCAAATTAATGCAAAATAATCAAGATACTTACCAGCAAGGATCGCGCAAAGCGCAATCAAAATGTTCATCTTTACGTTTAAGTTTTCAATGTCGTTGCGACAAGCGTACCAATAAAAACTTAAAAATTTAATGATTATTTCTTTGTTATTTTCTTATACGTATTAATGATATTGTTTAAAGATGACGTACAATTACTCTTGTAAAAAGTTCCGTATTAGAGAATTCTATCGATGTATTGATTAACATTCGTCCACCAGGCGCTACTGTCAAGTGACTGTTTCTAGCGTTTATACGTATTCTTTGACCAATGTATTTCTCATTCCCTCTCTTTCTATGATATTAAATAGCCAATAGGAGTATAATATTCTATCACGTGATATGAATCTTCTTTATTCATTGATACAAGAATCTTAAGTTTATATTGTTACATTCTTAAATTGTGAGACATCGTTAAAATTTCATTGAATTAGAAATGCATATTCATATCATGTTTTTATGAAAAAAGTTAGAATAACTACGGTTTCATATTAAAAATTATCGAATTGATTTTCACTAAAACAAATAATATTCGTGGTGTCATCTATCGGAGTGTATATAAAAAGTGCGTGATACAAAAAAGAATAGTCATCAAGTTAAAGTGCCGTTTTCTTTTCGTTTTCTGATCGTTATTTAGTGTTTTAATTAGACATATAATTTATCTTATAATAGTAAAAAAAATAACAAATTAATAATAGAATTATTTTCTACAAAGCAAAAAGATTGTTATCGGTTGTTTGAAGTATATAAAGTATGTAATATTCGATAACAAATAATTAAATTTAAGATAAACGACATTTTGATCGATTGCAATGTTCGATATTTCTTTGTGATAAAATAGTGCAAATGATAAATTAAATTAAATTATTGTTTTGTATTTTGAAATAATTATTGTTTCATTTAATTAAATATAATATAAAAATAATTTCTATTTTTGTTGTATTTTTACAGTAGATTATAATCTGTAGATTGTAATATAAAGATAATTTGACATCTCAAAATGAAATGTGTTTTGGTTATTTTTTGTATCGAATATCAAAAATATATTTTTATATACAAAATATTCTGTAAAATTAAACTTTAATCTGCTTATCGTATTAATAATTAATTATTAATATTTCTAGTTAAATATTATAGATATTAAATATATATATATATACATATATAATTAAAAAATTATATTATTATTAATATATGAAAATAAAAAAAACAATAATTTCGAAATTATAGAACATAATACTATATTTTTAAATTTATATAACTATATTCAGATTTGTTTTGTAAGTTTCCGTTAAAATAAAAAAATATCCATATAAAGAGAGATAAAAATGAATTATATTATAACATTAAATTCCTTATGTTCGCATTATCATTTTACACTTTGTCGATATAATAACCGTTCGTGTCGATATTAAAAAATAAAATGTGTTTACTGATATAATATTATGTTTTATTATTAAATATTGTAATGATATTGTAATAATTTGCATTTCATATTTTTATATATTTAATTATTTTATTATAATTTTCAATTTTACTATAAAAAGATAATCTTATATATCAATCTTATATTTATTCAAGTTCTATAAACACTTTTTATTTACAATTCATAACTTGGAAAATATTGGCCATTATTATAATTAATGCAATATCAAACACATAATAGAATTTTTCAAATTAATATATTTAATTGTATATTACATATTTTATTTTTAAATTTTGAACATTATATGAAGTAAGTAATATAATTGTGTGTCAGAATGTCAAAGTTCAACCATATTTGAGAGTTGAAGGACAATGATTTGCTGTAGATAATACGTAACATAAACATATAAAAAAAACTCTAAACAGTGATGTTACTTTAACGTATTATTATCATGAAAAGTATTAAAAACTTTCTGCGATAAGTACATAAAAGATATTTCTAGAATTAAAAATTATTATCTATTTTAATTAGAAGATTAAAGTTTATTATATTTTAATTATATTATTAAAAAAAAATGAATGTATAAATAATAATTGATTTTTTATTTTTCCATTCATTAAAAATAGATCACTTATGTCAATTTACTTATTTATATTATGTTGTTGGGAATTATTAATATAGAATATAAAGTACAATTTGCACATTTTTAAAAATAAAAATTTTTAACATCTATACTCTTTTTTGATATTTTTGAAATTTCATTATGAAGATATTTTCCTTCTTTTTTTTTTTTGTTAAATACGAGATATAATAAATTTTTGTTATGAAATAAATCTAATAATTATTTAAATGAAATTTACGTAATGATATAACAATAATAATAATAAAATAAAAAGAATTTTAATTAGTATTTTTAATCAAAAAAATGTTAACTAAATTAACTAAGTATGACAGTTTTGTTGTATTTAACTTGTTCGTGAAAATGTTAATTAATAAATATCATATTTATATTTTATTTTTAATATTTTACATTAAAAATTTTGTATAAATTATTCTTTAAAAAACTATTCTTCAATGGTTTCCGTGGTGTAGTGGTTATCACATCCGCCTAACACGCGGAAGGTCCCCGGTTCGATCCCGGGCGGAAACATTTTTTTTTTAAATATTAAATAATATTCGTTTTTAGTAAAAAAAAAATTAAATTATATAATGTCAGAAAAAAATAATTAATTAAATATATACGTTAAAAACATTTATAAAATTTATCTATCATCAACGTATTTATAATTAACTATGGTCTAATAATACAAGTTAGTGTTAAAAATGATTCTAACCTCATAGACGAAACTTTGAAAATGAATTTAAAAATAAATATATGCAATATATTTATGCGTTTATATATATATATATTATAATATAAAAAAATTTATAAAGAAAGTATATAGATAAGTAAAACAGATAATAAAATAAAAATAACGATAAATTAAAAATATTGAAATCTTCAGAATGGTGTAAATAAAATATATACATAAGGAGAACAAATAATATAAGAAAATAAAATAAGAATTGATCTACAATGCCTTGAATATATATTTCTCCATGATAGAATAAGGTAGAATAAGAATTGAAGACCAGTACCATCTCTTAACTATTTTTGAAAATATTTAGTTTTATGTCATTTGGAAAGATGGCATTGATTCTCAATTCTTATTCTACCTTACCCTATTATAGACAAATAATTTTAATGGCCAAGAGATGGCACTGTCGGTCAATTTTTGTTTTATCTCTATCTTTCTTATATTATTTTCTTTCCTTTTTTTATATGTTTTATTTGCGGCACTCTGGAGATGGCGCTGATGTCAATATTTTTAATTTATCTCTATCTTTGTCTTACTATTTATTTTCCTTGTCTTTCCTTTTGACATGACTACAAAATATATTTGATTCTTAATACTATTTATATTTTATTATTTCATCGTTTAATATTTTAATTTATAATTGTTTCATTCAGATTAAATTCAGATTAAATTTAATTATTAACATTACAATTTTATTTTATGTTGAATCGGTTATAATAATAGTTAAAAATAAAATAGTAAGACGATCCTAACATCTTAAGATTATTTTATATGATATCTTTTTCACTTTAATACAACTTTCTTCTCACAGATGTCGCTATTTGTCAAAATGTAGTGATCTAATCTATCAAAACTGTTTCTATGGGAAATAATATCGATTTAATTTTGAATCTGTAGTGTTTATAGCAAGTAGTATCTTCACAGGTTGCTAAGTAAATTCATCGAACAGTAATATCATCGTTTATCGTTATAAAAGGTACGTCTACAACTATTTTGATACATTATGATTAGAATTTTTTTATTATTTATTCTCTAATCCACAATCATCAATTAATTCAATCACTCGAAAAATATTAAACAAAACTATTATTCGGTAAAACCGTGTATAAAACATATAATATTTTTTTATCTCTAAAATTAATCTTCAGTAGAACGTGCATAATCCTTTTCTGAAACGCGATCGTCATGCCAATAACAATAAGACCAGTCAATATCTTCGCCTTTTCCATCGTGGCAACGTAATCACGGGTGGCGAATCAGCGCCTATCGCGATAATAATATTCACGAATCGAAACAAGTCCCACAGGTGAAATGATCAAAGTTTATCGGGTGCGTCGTTACTCGAGGCTGTCGCCGTCAATTTCTACCTAATATGTCACGTGGAAACTACGGAATTGGCCGGAGGGCGTCTTTGATCTCCCAACCCTCCCTCGGAACCGGCGTGCTTGTCCACCTTCCGAAAACTCACCCTTCGAGCCGCACGCCACGTACGTGCCACGAGGGTCGCTAAATCCAATTTTATTGTTTGCACGCTCAGGAAAACTGGAATTACTCGAATCTAATCGCGAAGCGTAAATCGTTCCATGGATTCGATCTCGGCTAATTTAAGCGTATCGTAATCATTAAAAACCGCGAGATGGAATGTTCATTTTACGCCTCGAGTGTTTCACTATTAACGTCACATCGAATCTATAATATAATTCATTTTTAACGTTCTTCGAAGAATATTGCATCAAATTTTTTCGACTAACGAATCGAAAATATCAATATATCAATATATCGATACATCTGTGTTAAAATTATTAGAACGATTTTTTAAATTTAATTTTCTTTAACGAGTTAAGATATAAATCTTCGATACTTTTAATTCAACTACGACAAATTATGATATGAAAAACGTTGGAAAAATTATGAAAATCGTTCCCAGCCCAGATAGAAGCTGGGAAGAAAGTAGCTTCGAACGAGCTGATAGATCACAAAAAAAAAAAAGAAAGAAGAAAGAAAAAAGAGAGACAGAGCAGAAGGGCGAAAAATTGACTTGACGATCCTTGTTTGGCACAATCATAGATCATTCCATTGTATCGAAAGGGGGTGTGTGTACACATTATAACAGGGACATAATGGCGCACCAATATGTACACACAACGGGGACAGAGGCGACACAGAATGTGCGGTGTTTGGTCTCCATTAATATCGGATCGACTGGATGCTGTTACTGCAGGCCATCTCTTGTATCTCTGGCGCTTTTTTTTTTTTATAGAGGACCATATGTCTCGTGCGTGGATCGCTGTCCCGTGGCGGGCCGCTCATTTGTCAGCAGACAATCTGCCATTGTCGCGATTTGATGTCGGCAGTCAAAACATCGAGAGACGAGACTTTTCCAACGCGATTTAACGACAATTCCCTTTCCCGATTTAACGCCAGAAATCGAATCGCCCCGATTATCGATCGAATTAAGAAATTTTTCTTAATTATAAATCACAAAAGATTGATGAAGCAACCTTGATATCATTATTAATCATCAGTTTCTTTAAAAACTTCACATTCCACATCTTCTCGTCGATCGAGTTCGACGTTGATTGTCGTTGATTAACCGGGAAACGTAAGGAAAGGATACTTTGGGGCGATGTGGAGGAGAAGGGGATTCGCATAATACGAATGGGTGATGGCTGCTAGATGGCGATGATCGCGTCGCATTAGCAAGGAAGCGTTCTACGAGCGACTACCACCATCGTGGCCACCGTCTACCCGGAACCCCAACAGGGTATATATTATATACGGTGGAAGTGTCACCCTCCTAGGCTGCGGTGTAAAATAAACGATACCTAATTATACGCGTCCCGGACGCCAAGTGCGTGCGAAGCTGGCCTCCTGTTTAATAGGATTACGAAATTACAATTTAGATTGATTGTCCGCGCTCTATTGCCAGCCGCTATTTACGACACGTTCAAGAGGGAGGATAAAGTCAATAACGCGAAACGGGGAAGAATTTGTTAAAATTTTTCCTTCTTGAAAATTGAATCGGATCATCCATGAGAAATGGATCCTATGTACGATTTATAACAACGTGCTCTTATCTTATTATTGACAAAGAATAATTCGAAATAGGAAAATTTCATACTTTAAGATTAAGAACTCAGAGTTCCCCAATTTCTTCCTTGGAGCTGATGTCGCGGCTGAATCGAGAGGAATCCGGCTGTGAAAATTTCGGTTTCGTAATTTCCTCTCTTCCCTCCCTCCCCCTCCTCCTCGCTGCCTCCCCCCCCTATTTAATCCAGACAGTGGCAATTCCAGGCAACGATAAATTTTTGTTATTCACCGCGATCGTTCCCGATGTTGTCAATTCCATTTAAAAATCTCGCCGGCTTCGACATCTGGATGCGCGCGCCCGTAATATATAGGAGGTGTCTGCGCGTTGCTGCGGATATCGTATTTTTTTTTTTTTTTTTTCCTACCGGCTTCTGCCCGCTGCCAAGAGGGTGGCTCGCAGAGCGGGTGCGCCTGGCGATGATTAATTAGCGTTTGATGAATATGTATGAGAGAAAGGCAACCAACTCCGGCTAACACGTACACACACCCGGCATCCCCCCTGCGTTACAATAACGCGGCCAACCCCCTCCCCCCAGTTTTCGTATACAGCCTCGTTTCAAGCCTGCGATAGGGCCCTCCCTAACCCACCTCCCGCCACTCCGCGCTTCAACCAGGATTCTGCTACTCTTTCGTGGGCTGTATAACAATGCGTTTTTTTCAAGCAGGGGGGGGGGAGGGAGGAGGAGGAATTTTTGTCAACGTCGAATTTTTGAACCCCCCCATTACGATTTATCGCGAATCTATCGCTCGACCGGTTCGAATTTTAGTTAAAAATAGCAGCATCCCGTATTTACGACGATTCGAAATCATTCAGAATTAACTTTCTTGTGTATATAACAAATGTAACGATACTGTTCGAGAGTATCATTTCAGAGGTAAAAATTAAAATTCTCTCCACACGATTGCAAAATTACCGGTTTCTAACATCTACGAAATCTGTATCGATATCGTCGAGTATTCTCAAACGAGAATACTCCATCATCCTTCCCTGTTCCATCCTCTGAACTGAATCTGAAGAAAAGAAGAAAAGAGAGAGAGAACTCAAACAAGAACGCTGTCCTCCTCGAATCGTTGTATCGAAACCGTGACACATCGACTTTCCATTCGGTCCGATCGAGCAGGTATCGGTATTTCCACACCCGATATCCATCAGTTTCGCATAAACTGGCCGCGGGAAAATATCACCTCCTGTTAGCTAGGGTCAGGAGGGGAGGGTTTTAGAGAGGCGCGTGGGGGAGGGGTTTAGATTTCGGCGGTGGCTGAAAGGGTGGCGCGCGCGCGCGGATTGTTCGCGCTGCGAGGAGAACAATGCAAACAATGGCCGGGGCACGGGTGCGGTGAGACCCGGCTTACGCGGTGAATACAATTACATTATGAACTCGATTACCATTTAAATGGAAACAAACGTGAAATGCTAAAATACACCGGCGATTCCCCGCCAACCGGCGCCTCTCTCGCGACCGGCGGGCGAAAATGTGCAACCGCCGCCTCTCGAGTGCTCGATCATCGGTATGCAAATAGCGTGCACCGCGGCCGTGCATAGCCACGTTTCGCGGCCAAGAGATATTTCGCGATGGAGGGATTTGATTTGGGGGGAGAACATCGCTTTTTTTTTGTATCACGTTTGTTCCATCTCGCTCGCGTTACGCGTTTTCATTTTTTTTCTTTTTGTTTTTGTCCCACGATCATCGCGATTCGTTCGATTTTCTTTTTAGAGGGAATGATTGTGACGTTGAGGTAATTGTTCGATCGGATCGTTCTTTTTTCAACCTCAGTGGCAAAGTCTGTAAGGAAGATTAGATTAGAAAGAATTAAATAAAGCGGCTAAAGTATACGATCCTCGCTGTTATTATGTTATTTATCCTTTTATATTACGTGCAATGCAGAAATGACTCGATCATAATCGAGAATTTTTAAAGGGTGAAAATAAAAAATGATATTAGAATAATGGATGAAAATTTTGAGAAAACTAAACTCGTGGGAAATTCGCCCGTTTATTCTCGGCTCGGATGCACTTTCGTGGAACGAAAAAAAAAAAAAAAAAATACGTCCGTTTAACGTGTCCCATCAGCACCCCGATTCTAATTATTATACACTTAATTTCCTAATGAACCGTATCGAACGGCAGGCTCGATGGAACGGCGCACTCGTGCACTGATTTCACGGGCCACCTGTCGCGCTGCTGTCCTATCCTCCCCATTGGTTTCATCGAATTCGACACGCAGGGTGTAAGACATTATTCCATTCGCGAAGGGATCTCTACGGTGAAGAGTATTATTTCTCGGGCGGGCAGATCGAACGAGAATCTTTCTCGTAGCTTGAAACGAGCAGTCGATTTTATCGAAGGAAAAAAAAAAAAAAGATTTCCAACTGTTCGAATTTTCTTCTGATTATCACTTTTTGGTAAGACTTACGAAATTTCGAAAAGACGATTGAGAATTCGTTCGCAAGTCGTGGCACAACGCGACAACGATCAACGTTACCCGATATTCGGTGACCCTCCTTTCTACAACGTTCCTTTTTCCAGAATGCACGAAAGAACGAAAACCAGGGGCGTGACGCTTGTGTACTTCTCTGTTTGGACGTTTTTCGAACAAAGCTGTATCAATATTTCTTTCGTATGACGCGAGATCTATTCGACGATCTATTCTTTCCACCCCTCGAACATCGTGTTCATTGTTGCCAACGCACTAAAATACGCACTAATATTATCATAAATAAATTAATAAATAAACAAATTGTTAATCTTCGCCTCTTTCACTCGGTATAAAAATACAAATTCGTCTTTAATTTATTTTATCTTATATTATTATTATTATTATTATCCAATTGCTCGCAAATTCAGATTATACAATATATATCAACAAAGAGACGGAACAAAACGGAAGATGGACGACACGTTTAGAATCATCGCGCTGCAGAAACGCATCGTATCTCCTCGTGACCGAGTTTTCTTTTCAGGTTTCCCTTGAAATCCTAATCCCGTAATATCCTCGGGCCGATATATCGTCGCCGGTAATGGAATCGTGCATTCAAATGGACATCGTTTCCCAGCCGGTGTAGGAGAGGCAGGTCGCGGACAGAGAGAGAGAGAGAGAGGCGCAGCAATGGCAGGGATGATATTGCCAATATTTGGTTTGATTCTGGTGCGAATGTGCAGGGTGTATGCCGAGGGGGTGCTCGCACCCCCTTAAGCACGAGCACGGGGGTCGAAGGGTCGGTTAGACGCGCGCCGATTACCATTTGAATGTTTCTACCCCTGGTCAGCCTTTGTCAACCCCCTCTGACGGTGACCGCACCTATCTATCTCGAAGGGATCCATCTCTCTCCCTTTTCTTTCCATTCTTCGCCGCCGTATGCTTCTCCAATTTCGTCCTCGTCTCTTCTTTCCTTCTTCTTTTTTCCCTCCATTCGTTGTTAATGCGACTTACTCTTTTGTAAAAAATTTCGAGAATTTAAGAGAAATTGACAGTTTCTTCCTTCCTTTTTCCACTTGTCGTTAATGCGACTTGTTTTGTGCAAATTTCAGTGTTTAAGAGTGTCGAAAAACGCGTGTATTAATTTAAGATCCATTACGTTTTTGATTTTTTGATTTGAAATCTGAGTTTTTTTTCTCTTTCCAGCTTTTCTCTTAGCTTGAAAAAAATCAATTTGGCAGATATTTCCCTTGTTCAATTTCATTCAACGATATTATTGATATCGTTACAATCGACTTCGTTTCAAAGACGACAATTCAGGTGTCCGATTCTTTGATTTAAATGGCCGTTATCTGCCCGTACATTATTACCGGAGATCAGCTCGTCGGGAACAATTATCTCGTAAAACGGTTGGCAAGGGTTTGCCGCCCGTATTCACGGCTACGTTCGTGATTCGCGATCGTTGTTGATTCAACGCGTTGAATGTCGCACGTGCGCCGATGTAGACGTACGCAAAGCTCCCGCAACCCGAACTTCAGCACGCGCCACGATTATGCGATTACGCGATTACGCGTGTCGGTTCCTGTATCCCCAACCCCTGCACCCGGTTCAAGAACAGCTTCGTGGATGATGCGCGACCAATGACGCGAAACGATCTTTTCTTATCCCCTATATACGGATTATCATTCGTCTCTGTGGAGGAATTTTTCATCGTTTATACGCGTCGTTCTTATACGTTCGAATTTGTTTCTACAAAGAGAAGGATCCGATGGAGATAGCGATCGTTGATATTTGATCTAGTAGTAAAGAAAAAACGGATGAGAATGAAGAAGGGTGCGAGAAAATTCGATCGATTGATTTTTGATCGGTCGGAGTATTCGCATCGAACGTTTGGAAAATTCTTTTTTTTTTTGTAAAAGTGTACAAAATGAACGGGTTACAAAGCAAATTCATTCTCTTTTTCTCTTCAACGGTCAAGGATCAACATCCGGTATTCGATATCCTATCTCCCAAAAGATGAGAAGTCGGAGCGAAGCAACATTCACTCGAACACGAAAAATCCCGATTCGGATCCATTCATAAACGGGCTGGTTTAATTCACGCGGGCGGTCTGCATTCCATCATCCTCGATCGGTGTCCACTTATCGAGGCCGTTCCATTCCTTCGTTCATTCTCGCCTTCACAGTCGCTTCTGCCTGGTTTCCAACGGCATTCTCGTAAGGCTCCCCAAAGTCGCTTACAAGCTCTTTCACGTTTAGAGGAGCCGTGAAAGAGCTTATTGTGAAATTTAACCGAGATTTTCCCCGAATGCTGCCATTCATACACCACCGCCTTTCCGTCTTCCCTTTCGATCCAGCCAGCTGTTTGCTATCGCGCCAATTATTTCGATTCTCACCGTCGTGTCGCAACTTTGAAATAAAAACACTTTACGCGTGCAACGAATTTGTCTACGAACGCAGTCCTTTGATACAACCAACTTCTCACGTAACTTTCGACGCAAAATTCTTCATTTACTTATTTACATCGCGCCGATGCGCGATCGATCCTCAAAAATGATATACAAAATCGCAAACGTTTAACAATCTAAATCGATAAAGAGAGTAAATGCCAATCGAGCGAAACAGAATGCATCTCATCTTCAATCGAATATTTAAAATAGCATAATAATGCACGTTCACGCTGTCTAATCTAAGAATGGAGGTGGGAGTGATACGTGGCGATGCCACGAGCCGACACGTGGCAATGCCGCTTTATACAAACAGCATTATGCACCGCTCGTGCTAACATAAATTACTGCGGGTTTAATATCGACGTTGGTCATGACCGACCACCTCCTGAGCAAAACGCGCAACCAACCGGCCATATTCCGTTACGAATACGAGATTCCTTTCATTTTTTCCAGCTCAGGTATATATTCTCACCGCTCTAACATTTATGCATAACATTTGTTTCCCGTAGTATAAATAAACGTATTTCGATATATATATAGAGAAAAGTAAAGTGATGTTTAGTCACACCGATTGTAATAATCTTTCCATGAGAAGTTGTCGAGTCACAACAACAAGTTAATATAGCTAATAAAATTCGTATCGTAATTCGCGTTGATGGTAAATATTGTTTATTTTGTATAGATTTTTAAGTGTACGAATTTTATCGTATCGCGCAATATACGATAATTAATAGTTTTCTTAGTACACGAGAAATAAAAGAAAAAAGAAAGAAAACGAAAACGTAATATAATTACAGATCATATCGAAATGGCAGAAGTCAGTTATATTCGAAATCCTTATCCTTTGCCGGACTTGTACCCTCGCGAAGGAGTGTGGACGAAAAAGCCTGTACTAGGTAGTAAAGTTTCACCAAAAGACGTAGACTGGAGTAGAAAGTTAAACGTCTACGAACGTCTCTTTGCACATCACACGTTAACCAGTATAAGAAAAGATTGTAGACTTCAGAGAAAAGAGGTAATCTATATATAGTTCGTTCGTCACGATTAAAATTTTCATCCAAGATAAATTTCGTCTAAGGTGGATCATACGACGAACGAATACATGTGTCGTGGGGGTTGGAAAAATTCGTACGATTTCAATAAATTTCGTTACAGGTGCCGGAAGACTCCTTGGATTTGGCACTTTCGACCGTATACATTCACAGCAAGGACACACTCGTGCCGAAATCCTATATCCCCGTGCAACCAGAAACTTTAGGAAAGAAAACGTGGCGGGTTTTAAAGAATAAAGTCGAGGTAAGAATAAATATTAGGTGATACGGTTATATGATTTTATCGAAATATTTTCCAATTGAAATTTACCAATTACCTTCGAACAAATAATTTAAATATTGTATTATTTGCTTCCGATTAATCAAGATTTACAGAGAGCCGGACATACCTGAGGAGATGAAAGAGCCAGTGACCTTGTTCGTGAAAGAAGCGGAGTGTCATTATGGCCCGGTGCCAGAGAGACGAGTCCATCCGAGTAGCGTGAAATTAAATATTACCGCTCCTCACTCGGTTCAATCTAATCCCGGATACAGTCGCAAAATCGACGGAACTTTTTACAGTACTTAAACAATATTTAAACATGGATCTATACAGTGTTTGAGATGAAAGCCCAACGAGCAAGGCTGTGCTAACAAGAAATTAAATCAACGATTTTATGATTATCATCGCCGATCGCGAATTCTCCGTTTATGAATTCTCTCTGTCATTTCGACATATTTTAGATTATTGGAATAATCGCTTTAATTGCTCAATTGTTTCAAACATTTTTTTCTTTTTCTTTCTTTTTTCAGTGATACTAAAAACATGCTTTATTATTGCATTTTTATTCTTATTAGATTTTATTTAATATATTTTTCTTTTTTAATTTTTTAATATATATATATATATATATATTATTTTTTAAGACATATAATAAAAAGTTATTAGGTATCGAAAAAGAAACAATAATTTTAAATATTAATAAAACCTTTGGAAAGATTTATCTTATAAGGTAATTTTATTTATTTAATCACTTTGTACCACTTTGTTGTTTTTTGTTTTTAGCATTTTGATAAAAATACATTACAGAAAATAATTTTGCTGCAATGGAATATATTTATTGTATAAGGTAAAGTATATCGATAATCCTTCCTTAGTTTTGTGAATTTATTAAAAGAAAAAAAAATTATTCCGATACAGACGAGAACTCTTCGCATGAAACAAATACGTGCAATAACTTAATATGGGACTCAGATAAAATATCATGGAATTTTACGCAATACTATATAAATAAAGTATAATATATTATGTAGTATTTTATAAAACTATGTAGAAATATATATTTTATACAAAAATTATCGACGTATCATCATTGCACAAATGTCGAACAAATTCTTATAAAATCACTGTGACAACAATATCTAAAAGATATATCTCGTGACATCGCGACGCAATATCCCATTACAAACATCGTCTTAAATAATTTAAAAATAATTAAAAATATATATTTTACGCGATAATTTTCTATTAACACCATCGAAACACGTATCGAACACGCATCTCCCTTATTTTGAAAAATCACGATGACATAACCACCCTCGAAAAACACCCTCGAGACCGATCCGTATCGCGTCCGAACGTGTCGGCAAATTTGTCCACGAGATATCTCGCGACGTCGTAATGCAGCGTCACCGAAATCTTGGCAAGCGATCTTCGGCCACCGCCTCACCCCCTTCGAACACCGACAAGAGAAGCGAAAGCGTGAGTCAGTGCACGGCTCGTTCTCACTGAGCAGCAGTCGAACAGGGGGCAGAATGTCCCATTACCCGGGTAATCCTTGTTTGTAATAAACCAGCACCCTGCTGCCAGGGGGTGGCGACCACCCTCGCCGCATAACGTCGCGGAGGTGGAGTCATCTCCCGTACGCATATGCTCCTCATGGAATATCATTTATGTTTCACCCCCGGTGCAGACGTCTATCTTGCTCCCCCTCCCCCCGTTTGACCTGTTTCAACCCCTCTGACACCCTCTTCCAGCAGCTCTGTCTTTATACATACACCTAATCCGGCCATGATTGTCGCGGCGACCGTCTCGTCGTCGAAAACTCCTCCTCGACCCTTGCCTATTTACCCTTCCTTCTCTCTTTTTCCTTTTTTTTTTTTTTTTTTATTCCACCAAAGACCCGACCTCGTTATCTTTTTAACGACATTGGTAGGAAAATTGAAGGGAAACCGACTGCGAGATTATACTATTGTTTAAGTATTATGGCGTAGGGAATTTTCGGTTTCGAATAATTGCTTGTCTGTTGGAATTCAGGCAGATGATACGAGGAGTAATTGGTTGGAAGAATTTAAGAATGTTGGAGATGTTATTGTTGATGAGTTGATTGATGATTAAAATATTAATAAAAAACGCGATTGGAAAATTCGTGAGTTTTAGGTTTAATATTCTTTGCTCGAAAAATTTTGTCTTTATATATATATATATAGCGAATAAATGCAATAAAAAAATTTGTTAGTCAACCTGTACCATTTGTAGATTAAAAGTTTAATTAGCATTGGTTCGAGTTATCGATAGATTGTCTTATCTGAAATTGAATTACGACCGTGACATTTGTCACGAATTACGATTGCATTTGTGATTGTGGGAAAAAAAAAGAGAAAAAAAAGATACATACAGAATTTCTATAAAGGGAGTTTTTTTTTCCGCTCAGTAAGCGTTACTTATACCGTTAAATAAACACGATTCGTTCCACGACGAATCAAATAATTCTGCCCGTAGATTACATCACGTCGAATGTCTATCGACCTTATTCTTCCTTTTTTCCTTTCTCGGTTAGGGGACGCACAGAAAGTGGCAAGAATAAGGGTGGAGCGATCCGAGACCGTGGTGGGTAACGAGCGAGGTAACCAGCCAATTACTTGGCTGAGCGGTTTTATTTGTATTTAATTCTTATTTAATTTAGTTTTTACGGTTGCCTTCGTCGGTTGCCTCCGTTAACGAAATGGAAGATTTCCACGTTGCCTCTCAAATTCAAAAAGTTCGCGGCGCATCGAACGTAATTAATTTTGAACAAAGGTATAATAAAAACGTAATTTCTACGTAATTTTTGAATTTAACAAATGTCTCGAAAACGATCGGTGAAGATCGCCGTCGAAGATTCGATAACGTTGATCGAACAATTTAATCAGGATTAAACTAACGTATTTGTACCGTCGACTCTAGAAGTTAACTCTCCAAGAGTTAAAGTAATCCTTTGTAATTTTCGAAATTACATTTTGGAAAAATTTCTAAAATTGCGTTGAAAATTTCCACTTTCTATTAATTATAGTCATAAAACGCTATTCTTCTTTTTTTTATTATATTTAAAATATACATATATATTTTTAAAGATATTCTATCGAGAACTTCGTTAAAAATGATTTATCAAAAATGAGATTCGAGGAAATTTTTATTAAGAGATCCGTTTATTAAAATTTTCCACGTTTTGATCGTTGGGCCGATTTGACGAATAAACGGTAACAGAAACGAAGAAGAATGATCGATTTACCATCTTCCCAATTCCCGCGCGCATACGTTTACTCGAAAGGAAATTCCGCGTAAAAGTCGCAGCAAAGTCTCATTGATCCCTCCGGGATGAAGTTGTTATTCCAGTGAACTTGTTACGTTATATTTATCAGCACGGTGCACACTGCCACCACCCGTCGAGCTTTATCGTTCCTTTCGGTCCCATTTTTGCTCCCTCGACTTTATTCACCTACGTACTGTCAAGACAAAGCCGCAAACGACGTTATAAAGGACAGCCAAAAATAGGCTGTATTAAACGAATGATGCGAGTGATTTCTCTTGACGTTTACCATTTTAAAATATTTAACACATTATACAGAATAATCATATCTTAATTTTAATTTCAATTTTCAATCGCAATGAAATTCTTCGTTTCAATAAATTTATATAAATAAACTCTTCTTCCAATAATGATAAATTTAATACCATTTTAAATTCTTCTCCCATATATCTATCATATATAACAATATGATAGATTGAATTTATAATAATCTGGGAAAAAATATTTTCAGTCTTAGAAAAATATGATGGTGGTAAAAATTTAATTGAATTAGAGTCCTTCCTCTTCGCAAGGACAAATACAAAAGGAGGTACTCGAAAGGTACGTGCTTAATCAAATAGTAGGAGCTTGGTGGTTGGAAATTTACCCTCTATTCCAGTCGATCTGGTTTTCTCAGTCCGTTTAATGTAGAGAGAAAGCCACCCTCTTTGTAAAAGGTCAGATCTATATGAGTGGTAGCTTACGAAGCTTATTTTTTAATTTCTGTTCAATATGTTGCCATGCCACTCGAATGTTTGTTCAACGTTTTAAAGTTATTTCAAGACAACGCGCCACCAACATCCACCAACCGTGGGAGGGGTTCCTCCTGCAATTGTCTTTTCTATTAGAATAGGGGAAGCGAAATCGTTCGGTCGTGTGATCGTTTCGTGCGAACCCCCTTGATCCTTTCGTTTCTTCTATTATTTAAACAAACATATCATTCGTTCCACTGTTTAAACTTCCCAAGATTTTCTCGATCATTCTAGATATATTTCTAAAAATATTAACCATCGTTGACAAACCATCGAGATCGAGATAAATTTTTCTAATATTTCGAAAAAAAAAACTAATTTTTAAACACTCCAAAATTTTGAACCCTGAAATTTTCTCTCAAATCCTCCATCCTCCTTTTGCGTCCATCGGGATGAACCATCATCCTCCTACGCACTCATCCCATCCCTCTTTCCATTCTATTTTCGTGAACCGTTCGCGCACAAAATATGATCGCTCGTCTCTATTACTTCCCTAGCGAGGCACGTCTCCCTTCCATCCCTTCCTTCCGTTCCAGCGAAGAAGAAACCGGATTAAAAAATGAAACAACGAAAGAGGAGAATGAAACGAAAAAAAGAGAGGAGGAAAGAAGAGAGAAGAAGAGAGAGAGAGAGAGAGAGAGAGCGGGTCTAAACGACGGTGGAAGGTCAAGCCCGAGATTACGAAAGGCTCGTGCGACGTTTGCTCGTTAATTAGGGAGTTCTAATTATAGTAAATGCGTGAGCAGAGGCAAGGTACGCGGAGATCGTGCCACGGCAGAAGCTCCGGGGATCAAAATGCAACCCTCCGCGAACGAGCCAAGATTACCTTCGAGGGTCCTCGCCGCTCCCTTCGCCAACCTGCGACGACGACGACGACGACGACGACGACGACTTCTCTCTCTCTCTCTATCCCTCCGTCTCTGGATCCCTTTTCTCTTTCTCCTCTACACACCTCTATTCCGTTGTAGCGCGCTCTCACTCTCTCGGATATCACCTAAAATAACATCAGCCTGGAACCACTCGCCAGGATAGATTTTACCGCCCGGTGTATAACAAATGGATTAGTATTTCGGTAGACGAACGGTTAATCCCATTTCGTTATGGGCACGAAGATTATGCGTATGCTTCGATTATCGCGCCTTGATTTCGGTCAATCGCATGCCTAGACTATTTACGGATCGTCGACTGGAAAAATGTTCGATGTTAGTTATTAGGAGAAACTTGGTATTCTTGCTTAACTGTCGATGAAAAGTTTGGATTTATCGCATCGTGTGATACGAAATATTATATTAATCAACCGGATCTCTGAAAATGAAGATATATAATGATGGAATTTCGTCCTTTAGTATAAAATAAT